CTTGGAAAGACAATAAGGCTTAAGTGAAGTCTAGAATTCCCTCCGCAGCCAAAACTGAAAGTGGTATTGGTGAACTGTTCTTAAAAAGACAGCCTGTATAGAGGGAGAACATGGAAGTAAAATGTAGAACAACACTGACCTTGAGTATGAGACAATAGCTCATGATTTCTGAGTTAAATATTAAGTTGCAGGATGTATAGGAAGGATCCAGGTTTCCCAGACACAGTAACATTAGGTAGAAACATCTGGAAACTTGAGTGATTTATAAATTTACTCAGGAATCCTTGTATTACAGCCAAGTGGAAGTAGGACGCTGAAGCTAGACATTTGTTCTCAAACACACACCACCGTATATTATCACAGCCTAGCAATATTTGATAATGAAGCCCCTGCCAAAATAAAAATCTGAATCCCCTCACAGCAGCTGTACATGCAAGAAGGCAGTCGTAACAGTCTGTTAGGCTCCCAGAAGAGTGATTCACAGAAGAATCAAGTAAAACCACCAAGGAGTGCAACCGGTGTGTCTCTGTACAGAGAGGCTCAGAAGTAGGACTTTGTTATGCTCCCTCGCGCTTTCCAAGCACAGGCATCAGGCCTGAGTTACCCTAAAGCTGCACCTAACGAGAATAATTGCAGCTCGCCCCCGGCATCCAGAAAGGGCTCTGCAACAGAACCAGTGCAGAACTACCATCGTTTTGCCTCAGTAAGAGCACTTCTCATAACGGTCCTTGCTCAAAACATGACCTTTTCCAAAAGGCGTATCTAGGAGTGCTTGTGATCTGGATGTAACTCAGATCTAGAGCTTAAGTTGTTACGGAATGAAGATACTTAAAAGATCCCCTGAACATGCCAGAAAACCAGTTAGTGGATCTATGTGCCATACTGTGACTCAAGCCAAATTTCCAGTATACTGTTTATTAGACACACGTATTGAGATTAAAGGAGTCAGTGCGAATTCCAAGATTAAACGCATCTTACGTACTTGTTTGATGGTTGTTATTATTATAACACGTCTCCCTCTATCAGCAAACAACAGAGCAGCTAAAGACCATTTTGATACATGAAAAGGCTTACAAAGTTGTATCTCAACTAAGAGGCCTCTCCACTACCCGAAGTTTTATTAATAAAGTTAAAAAAAAACAAACCCAAAACTAAGTGGAATGTTCTGATCCATTCAGCGGTCTTTAATTCAGTATGCTGCAAATTTACTGTCAAACTACAATTAGCTATTTAAGCATTTGGTGTGCAATGGAGAAAGCTGAATAGCTTGTGTTCTACCAACCATTTAAAAAGTAAGCCGATGCACAAAAAATTAAAACAAAATAAAAAAGAATTCACTTTTTTCCTACATCAGTTCAACATTAAAAGATTTGTTTTTTTATTTTTTCCAGTTAAAAAACAGCTGGGACTATTATTTCTGTAACAGCTTCCTAAAAAAGACATAGAACAGCAACTTCTCACTGGACTGCAGTTTATATTGTTCTACTGGTACGGAATGTGTCTAAGCCTTGACTAAAACTGCTGCTTCTAGCCATCAGCATCATTTCAAGTTGTCTGGTGTGTAGTATCTTCTTCACAAGCTTATCGCTTCTCTCAGTAAAAACATCTCTCATTTGTGCTCTTCACACAGAACATGGAAAAGTGGTATTACCACCTATCAGTACGGAGTTTCAGATTATTTCACAATGAAGTCAAAATATCTGACATAGGTTTCGAAAGTTCAGTTGCGATACAAAGTAGAAATGACCCTCTGAGCAAAAACAACCTTCAGTTTTGTATATAACAGTGAAACAACACGTAGCTGTTCCTTAATTTCACCTTTTCACAGGTAGAAATTATTTGATGAGCAATACTTCACACATATAGCACTTTTCTTCTTGCTCGTGCTATAGAATGCAACAGAACTACCAACACCTCTATGGAGGCAGCTATCAATATATTCTCCCCACTGCAGAGAGAGTGCGTGTGCGCAAAAGGCAGGCACAAGTGATTTTCCAAAGACTATACCACAAGTATGCAGTAAAACTTGAGTAAGACTTGGTATTTTCCAGCTCCTAGTCTTATGCCATTTCTTTTATACATTGCTGCCTTGATGAAAAGGAAATCCACAAAAAGAAAAATTTCCCAGAAGAAGTCACAGCTATTATAATAAAATGGAGGGGGAACTAAACCACACCTTATGAAACGTCACCCCATTACATTAAATTTGTTTCAGTCGTTGAAAACCAGTGTTCCAGGATACAATTTTTATAAACATGTTTTATTTGTCTTGCTTATACCATTAGAACTGTAACTGCTGGCTGTCATTTCCCTTAAAAGGGGAAATCAATTCAAACACATACTGGTGCTTTTCAAAAGATAGCAATTAAAAGGGCAGCAGCAGCGGGCATTTGAGATTTCTTAAAACCTTCAAGGCTGCAGGAAAGACAAAAGGACATGTGACCAAAAGTGTTATGATTATCCATTAGAGATTTCCATCAGTACCGGCATCAGTTATTTAGGTGATAATACAGCAAGGTCAAGTATTAGTGACAGACAATGTGCAAGTCATAAGGAATGATAGAGAATACCAATCCTTACAAAAGTCATTGCTATCAAAGAAACTTAAAAGTGTTTCAAAGAGATATCTAAATACTTCACATCAAATATACAGTGGCCATCCAGATTATATCCCACATTTGTTGCAAAATTTTACTGAAGTGCCAAATCAAGGCGCTTTTTTTCCTTCTTAAAAAAAAAATAAAATTACACAATTACATTAGCAGTTATGCAAGCAATCTTAAATCCTTAGCCACAGTAAACAGGGCCCTGGTGACGAGGAGGTGCTGTAGCTAAGGGTGCTTCTTCTTTGTCAAAAACTGGCTATAAGCCTATTTGTCTATTTAGGGAAATATGCATCACTACGCATCTTTAAATGTTCAGTGCTTCAATTGAATAAGAAAAAGCTGAAATGCAGTTGCTCTACCAAGCCACACTTCACCTTTTCCATCCTTTCATGGGAACGTTACGTTTTGCCAACTGCCACCATAGTAAATCTTTACAAATTTGCAGATTTTATCCAAATTTGTTACATCACTTTTAGATGTCAGAAGTGAGTCTTCGCTTTTTCCTGCCACTTCAGTTAACCATGGAGATTGGATCACCCTGAAAATTGCCTTTTTTGCTTTACTCTTAGCAAGGGTGAGGAATCTGAATCTCATGTGCAAGGCTCAAGATGATGCTTAGGACAGAACATGCAGAGTAAACGTTGTTTCGTTCCTTTCCATATCCAGGTAATATAAAGCTGGCAACTGTAGTCCTGTCATTACGGGTAATGAAAACAGTCCCTTTACAACAAACTTTCTGTAAGGGAGAACAAATAGATAATAACTCTTCTGGTAACATGTATAGTACACTGGCCAGTGTGTTTTTGGCGTTTGATGTAATCCGGTGAATCTGTTTAATTCACTTGCTGAGCATTCATTTGAGGCATCCCTCTGTTTGGTCTTGGGGGCCCTCCACGACCTAGAAAACAGACAAAAAGGCACTTGAAATTATGCATAGAGTCAGGTTATTTTAAAAAATTCCTAAAAGCTCTAGTCTAAACAGGGTAAGAATTCCCAGGTGCATATCTGTACTAAGCATGTTTCTAAAAGCTCCTTGAAATTAAAACTCAACAGCACATAAAGGTGAAAACTCTGAAGACAGGTTATCTCAAAACTTTTTCCCCAAAACTGAAAAGTTATAATAGCTTCAAGTAAAAATTAAAGGAAAAAAAACCCCAAGCCATGAAGATATGAATGTAAAAGTTATGCAGTAATGTAAGGAATAATCAGTTTACTGTATTTTAAATATAAGCACTGTGAGCTAACTAATCACGTTTTAACTTCCATTCTTTTCTTTCCTCATTAACAGACTGCCTGCAGATCACACTCCCATTATAAGAGAATTGTAGGTCACTTGGGGAATCCTTCTCATGCTTCCCTGCACATCCTTGACAATGAACCTCAAGACTTTTCTTCATTACAGTTGTGCTTCCTAAAATATGCTCCCAGTTTCACCACTGCCTAATACTACGTTTAACTTCAGGCCACAGTTCCACACTATAGGGCTTTCAGTATTAAGACAGTTAAGGACAGAACTCTGTAAAACCAATCTACCACATGGAACTGTGGTTTCACAGACAGCGCAACGTACAGCCTCGAGCTGTCCTCACTGAGAAAGCGCTCTGGTGATAACTCAAGATTCTCATGGAAATGTCTGTATTGAGACAGAAGACAGTTTCATCACCAAAAGTCTACTAAAAAAACAGAACTGTGGAAATCATGTTCAAAATAAAATTTACAACTTCAACTACAGCCTCAGGGGTTGTCTGTGGGGTTTTTTTGTTTTGTTTTCTCAGACAAACGTGTGGCAAACACTCACATGAAGCTACAGGGCAACACACCTCCTTAAGCTAAAAGCAACAATGCTATAAGATGAAGGAACAGATGAGCATGGAGGGGGAATTTTGTATCCTTAGATCAAAAGAGATCTGCACAACACATGCAGCAGGACATCTTTTAGTGCAACAGAGTAACAAAATTTTGAAGGCTAACACCCAGTTTATGCCTGATGTCTGCTTTATAAGCAAGTCTTACTTGCCAACTCCTAATGTACCTAGTAAGCAGATCTTAAGTCATGATAAACCTCGCAAAAACAAAAAGACTTTCCCAAGGCTTTCATTAATAAAAGGCAACTAAATAATTCTGCTACATTTAAAGTGTCAAAGGCAATTGTTGCTTTAACTCCTTTTCAAAGAACTCCTCATTCAACAGCCAACTAAACTCCCACCACAAGTTCAAAGCATCACAGCATAATTAATTCAAGTCAGAAGGGACCTGAAGAGGTCCTCAAAGTCCAACCCTGGTTCAGAAGCAAGGTCAGCTATGAGGTCAGAGGAAAGTAAGCTTATTCGTCAATTGTCACCTGCTGAATAAGGAGTGAGGTTACTTTTTAAACCCCAAACTCCAGAAGTGGGATCAAAAAACTCCATTCAGCCCAAATGAATTATTCACTACTCCAGAATTACCTCTAGGAGCTCCCCGAGGTCCACTTTGTCCAGAGCCACGTTTGAAATTCTGTTGATACCCATCCTGAGGCAAAGACATGAAAAAAGTTATGATATAAAACCTGAGCATTTTGTTATGCTTCAGGAAGCTATTAATTGCCAATAAATTAAGGCGCTTTTAAAACTATGTGCACTGGCAAAACACCTGTGACTTCAACATATAGCATTTTATTAGTTTAATCTTAGAAAAATAAATTCTTACTCCTACTAGTACCTAGCAGGTATAATAAAACATACCATGACAAATTCTCCCTCCAGTTACAGGATATGTTGTTTAATATAAATGAGAAATCTGAACAGACACATATTTTTCAAACTACACAGAGGTCAAACAGATGAATTTGCTGCAGGACGCATCAACAAATGAAGCGACATTCTAACGGCAGGATCAAAATCTGTCATCTCATTTTGGGGATATGCAGAGTTAGATATTTCCAGTCAGCCTAAGTTTTGAGCAAACTGAGCATACTTCCTTCAGGACAATGAAATTCTATGCAAATTTCAAAATAACATATCAGCATTGCAGAAGACAGGCAATTTCAAACAGGTATAAAAATTTAATTTCAATGGATATAAGTTCTTCATTAAATCTCTGACAAAGATGTGAAAATAATTATATTTAAGAAAGAGTGCTTTGTAATTACTCAACCTTGCTCTAGCTACTAGACTAATGTCTTTAGAGATAATGTTTCCCAATTATAATCAGCCATTTAATATTCTGCTATTTCTTTAGTACCTGAAACTTTTTCTTCATTAGCAATAAAAAGAAGTCGTTGGAAAAGTTTTCACTAATAGACTTGCTTGAGTGCTTTCACTGACAGATACTTTTTTCTTCTGCTTCTAGACTGTCACAACACAATGGTATCTTACCCGTTGGTAGTTTGAATAATCCCGAGGAGCATTAAATTGAGGCTGCGTGTAACCACTGTTTGGAGTGTTGGAAAAGGAAGGACGGTAGCCATCGTATCCTCCTAAGGAACAGGGTACAAGTGTTTCACTTCAAAATAATAGCCTATTACTTTATGCTATCATATAATGAAAAGCAGCAACAGCATTTTACGTACACCCGGGGAAAAACACACCTTTATTAAGTACCTTACCCCCAAGTCAAGCAAGTATTTGCAACATCAGTGCTAATGCTATTGCAAGAAACAAGAATGAAGACCTCCTAAGACTAGGAGAAGACAGCAATTCAACACATTTCTCTAGTAATTTGAAGTTTGATTTACATAACATTCAATCCAGAACTAAACGTAATAGTAAGATCTAAATGCAAGAGCTATGACGTGCAAGGCCACAACAGCCAACTCAAGCAAGAAGCTGCTCCTGAGTACTGGGAACCATGCCCAAGGACGGCTCCAGTCCCAGGAGTCCAGCACTTAGAATCCAGATCAAGTTTAAGCAGGCACGAAGTGACCACTGCATTCCCTACTACAATCAGTTGTGTTTTTGTTATACAGGTTTCTCCTCTACTCTCCAACCACAAGTGGAAGAGAACATGGCAAAAGCAAGCAGTACTATATCCATAGTCTAATCCCGTAACACCTGACAAGGACACTGTCCATGTCTCCCATTCTAACACACACATCTTCGTAACAGTGACAGCCACATATAATAGTCTTCAGGAATCATGACAATTCTCTTATTTATCCAGAACTACAGTATCATTCCTCTGCTCCTGTCGATTCCCTCAGAGTAACATTTGGACTTTTTTGTTCTTGTATTTCTACATTATCCAGCCTATTCTCAATCTGAAGAAACATGGAGCTCTTTAAAATACACTGCTTTACCACAACTGGAAATAAAAAAAACTTTTGAAATACCAATTGGCATCTGAATTCCTCACCTGACGGTTGTGAAATTCCGTTGGGATATTTCCGTGTTTGCTTATCCTTGCAGGAGACACCTAACCAAATTGACACTAAGCCTTCAGCACAGAACAGGAAAAAATGCTTCTTTGTTTACATCCTAGTAGGAAGCCTAACCAAACATCTAAAATTCCAGCTGCTTAAGTTAGCTAAAGCAAACAGAATTTTTACTACAAGTTGAAGTATCTTACAGAGATACTACTACAGTATAAAAACAGTAGGTCAGTTTGGTGCTTGGTATCTTGACCCAGTGTTTCCAGAAAGAAGTCAAATGAGAGTGTAATAAAGCTGTTTACCTCTAAATCCATTTGCCGGTCCCCTGTAACCGTTCATTAAGCCACGAGCCCCACGTGATCCACCACGAGACACTCCTCGACTGTTATAATAAGGCTGACTGTTACGCGGAAATCCAGTATTCTGCTGGGGAGGTTGCTGGTGGTTACCCGCCACTTGATGAGTCTGGTCCGGGGAACCATGGTAAGTGCCAACCACTATATTGGAAGCGAGGAGAAAAAATGAAGTATAAAAGCCTGTGCTTCTTTACGTATGTTCCCATATACAGTCTCTTTGAACTCAATATTCAAAGCTTTGAAATACCATTGGTAACATCAATAAATGATCCCCTATTCAAACAAAAATCATCTGCAGAATTAAGTAGCAAGTTTACTTGTCAGATATCCCACAATATTAGACCAGCCCAGAAATGGTAGAGAGTTAAATTTAAGACAATGCCAAGAAGTCTCTAGTGTAAGGTCAGCAACCAGCATTCCTAACACAGATACAGTTTTCCTGTGCTACTTCAAACCCTTCAAAAATCAGCAACACACACTCTGGAAAAAACAGTATGAATAAGTTAACCCACTGCTGCAACTTCCTCCCCTCTGAACTGGCAGAGAGCCACTAAGAAATCTTTGTTTTCACTAACTAAATTCTTTCTGCTAGGTGTTGCTGTGCTGATTTAGGTGAGACTGATGGGAACATTTTAATAGCGCTGCCGTTCTGTCTGTACAGGCTGGGGAATCCTTTCTTTATACAGGATGTGTAGTTCAAAAGGCAAGAGTGGAATGGAGATCTTGAGATTATCGGCATCTCTGAAGTAAGGTATGCCACAACAACTTCACAGGAATCATCAGGAATAAAGCTGATTACGAAAGCAATGAGGGTTACAGGCTCAGTAAGCGCATCAGAAGATGGAATTCTGTATGTAAGACAGCTGTAAAATTTAGCCTGATAACAAACGCTAAAGCAGGATCTCCAAGAAAACTGTAAGTGTTAAGACCCTCTTATATGCAGGAAATCACCCAACAGGGAGCACAACTTAACGTCTACTTCACTCGGCCACAGAGCTCCCTTCTCCACAACCTCCCATAAATTCTCATGGAATGTACCAAGTGGTCATCCTTTCAAGTGTTGAATTTCTGCAGGTTTTGTTCTAAGGCCACTGCATTTTCTGCATATCAACAGTTACACTTACTGTTACAGCAAGTTAAGCATTTAATACTGCATGGCCCACTTTCAACACCTGAATTCCCCAGTCTGCCGTTGTCTTGCGCTGTATACAGCTCAAAACCCACAAACAATGAAAACTTGGTTCTCCCTCTTCTCATCTTCCCACTCCTGTCTCCCAGCTCACAAGGAAGGCAAATTTCAAGATCACAATCACTTACAGAAAAAAAGGATCAGGCTCTTTTTCCTTGCTACATCTTCTGTAGTTGTTAGCATTTCACCCTTGTTATCTCTGTCCTGCGTCTCTCACTCAAAATCCCTCTCTGCATCTGCAAATTTTCTCTCAGTGGAAAGTGAGGAGAGTGCTGGGAGAAGAATAGCTTTGTACATTGACTTTACTGATTGTTGAAGCTGCTAACTTGGAAAGCATTTTGCTTGCTGTAGTCAAACCATGTCTAGCGGATTTTAGCAAAACGGTCTAGATCTTTGTGAACCTCACATCACCTGTGAGAAGCAGTCCGAATTTGCTCTCAATTCTAGATTACTATTTCCTTTTTAAAATGTCATCTCCAATAGTACATTTCTTTTTAAAGCAAATTTAAGGATCATCCAACCTTAACCTCAGCAAAGCAAGTACTCCACTATACTGCTTTCATCTTTAGAATAATCCTTAATCTTGCTCATTTTTTTTTTAAACCCATAAAAAAAACTGACAAAACGGGCAAAATTCTTCTAACAGTTGGAGACCTATGTACTGAATTTCACCCCCTGCTGGGTATTCAAACTGAGACAGAATAACAAAAACCAGGTATTGTTCAGAGGAAAGCTTGCAAGACTAGGAACGTTCAAGAACACGTGACACGTTTTGTTACACCATCTAGGACTCCACAGTCTGATCATCTGCTCTACTGAAGCTACTGGCATTCTAGCTTTTGCTAACGTAAGTTTACCTGTCTGCAGTTGTTCTTGCTGAAGATCTGATTGTTCTACTTGGTGAGGCTGACTGGAGAAACTCTGGTTGTAACTGGCCTGGTACTGATTTTGCTGCTTAAGGGTTTCTGGCTCATTAACAGGAGGAACAGGTGCATTCATGTTGAATACCTATAACGTCAGAAAAACAGCTCTCTGGTCCAATCCATTTTTTACAATTCCTCACAGCATCATGTAAAGTAGTATGCAAGTCTGAGAAATGCGAATAACCTCAGACTATTTTATGTAATTCCACGACTGATTCCCACGTTTGTAGAACAACAAAAGGAATGACCACCAAAACAAAGATATTCAGTATTAGTTTACTACTTACTGTCTGCATGGACTGGAATGGAGCTGCATTAACATTGATTCCGCTGCTATGCAAAGGTTTGCTAGATCCAGCCTGGAACACTTGTGGCTGGGATGCAGTGGGAAGTGATGAAGATGACGGGGTCTGGTCTGCATTCAGTGACATTGAAGCCTAATTAAAAAAAACAACATTTTAACAGCTTTTGAATAACACGAAGAAATTAACTTGAAAACTCCACTTTAAGGGAAAAAAGTGACAATGCCTCAGGTTCACCTCAACAAATGAGCAGTTTCTACTTCAGCTGAACGGTTTCATTCACGACTACATAATAGGAAAGGAAAAACCCAGCAGTCTTCCCCCTTGTTAACTTGAAACACAACTAGAAAAAAATACAGGGGGAAATGAACAAGTTTCTGGGCTAACTGCTAGCCAACGTAAAAGAGAAAAAAGAAAAGAAAAAAAAAAAATCACATTTTCAACAACACTGATGCTCGTATGCTGATGTTGGCATGTTACTTCTAATTAAACAGACAATCTAGTAAATTAGAAGTCTTACTATGAAGGACTTACTGGTCACAAACAGGCTCAAAATTTTGAAATTAAACAGGAGTGGCCCTACCAATATGTAAAAATGACAATAGGTTAACATTTGCTCACTCCTACAGGCACAGTCCTTCCCACCCCTGTGAAATCTGACTTGCCTGGATCTGGTCAATCGATTCTTTCTGTGGCCGTTGCTCTGTTGTGTGAGAAGGCTGATACATGGGTTGGGAGGCTGTATATCCCTCACTTGTAGAAGAAACCAAGGGAACCTGACAAAATAAACCCCAAAGCCACAAAAAGTCAGGTGATGCTCACATACAGTTTTATAAAAAGTATCAGAGAACTCCGGAATGAATGGTACTCTCCAGTAACAGTATGTATTCCAGCAAATCTTTACAACCATTACAAATTAAGTACTTCTTAACAAGCAGAGGTTTAACCACCTCATCTTGACATACATTCTAACATGCTAACATGCCACACTACCCACTCCCTAGCAGACTGCATTCTGTGGATATTTCTGAATCAGTTGGACATGTATTTGCTTTTACTGAAAACCATCCTTGTCATTTCCTCATGCAATCCCAACTACCATTACAATAAAGCTGGGGAAAGACAGACTGAAAGAGAGAAATACACAGAAGTTTAAATGAGACTGCTCCAAGGTCATGCAGAAATAGAGAAGTGCTGGTTTCCAATGGACTGAATTAGCTCATTTTAGAGCCTCTGCTCCCCTACCCGGAGTCCAGTGAAAACTCCAGCCAACAAAGCACAGGACTTTGCATTTAAGGTTACTGGGGACTTTAAGAGGCAACTGATAATGACTGATGGGTGTGTTCACATCTCCTTCTTGAACATTCAAAAGGAAAGATGTAAGCTTAGCTACTGCTTGCAAGACTCCCAAGAGAATCATTGGCAGTACTGGTTGAGGTAAGAAAAACAAGAAAAAAAAAATCCACTGAATTAAGTCACCAACATTATTCAAAAAAAAAAAAAAAAAAAAAAGAAGCTACTGCAGAAAGAATTCTTGACAAAAAAAAATTCTACACCGACAAAACAACAAAAGTGCTAAGAGTACTAGCACTTCAGCAGGTATGTACAGAGGAAACTTGAGAAAAAACCCACATTCCTGTTTATATACCAAAGACTTAAAACTTGCAGGTCAAATCTGGACGAGACAAAGCAAGCAATTTGTACTGCCATTACTCTCAAATACACAATCTGTCCAGGCTTTTCTTTTGATTTTCAAACACCTGCAGGGATCAGGTTCATTATGAGACCCGCAGAGTCCTTCAGAGATGCCACACATGCTTAATACAAAATCAGGAAGCTCTTTAATCACCAGACAATTCAGTAAGAAACTGGTACAGCTTTAAGAAACGGTGAATCCATCATTTATACATTGCAGAAGCAAGTTTAAGAGATACTACTTAAACAGGAATTTCTGGAAAGCTCAACTGAAAACAGCATTCAAACTCATTCTGACTGCTCTACAACTCCAGCATTAAAATATTATGCAAGCAAGCAACTGGGACTAATCCTTAACAGAACAAGCCAGAAACACCACCACAAACTATATAGTTAATTAATTCAATCTATTTGTGTTCCGATGCCCACTTGAACAGATAGACTGCCGTTTATCCAAGTTGTTTTCGTTTTGGCATTTCTGTTGCAAATAAGCAAACAAAGGACAACTTGCTTCTATTATATGAAAAATATTACTACCCATGGCTTAACATGAAAGAGAATACTACCATGCAAAGAATAACATGTCAAAGCATTTAGTCCATCTTGAACAGAATGCACAGAGAAACCTCAAGTTAAACTGCTATATTAGAGTAGGACTACACAGAGCAGCATTCCAAACAAGTCCTTCCTCTCAGTGATGAAAAAAACATTTAAAATTCACCACTGTCATACTGAATACAGATTTTAAGTGATGGCAGCCTAACACACAGGCACATGGAAGTCAGTTTGTGAAATGAAAATCACATCCACACGAATTCCAAAATTGAGGTGAGGTCCAGAAATTGAAAGAACTGGTAAGTCCACACCGGGCCATGAGAATGAGCACTGCAAACCACAACTGCCTCCGTGCTTGTGCCCTTCATTTTAAGAGATCTCTAATTAGAAATGCAGTTTCCTCAAAAAACTGGCACTTTGACCTTGAACCCAACAGTTTTCCAAATAGGGTGATGCCCGATAAGACTCCACTACAGAAAATATGCAATGTTTGCATAGCATAAAAAACCATATATAGTAATGCTTGTAAGTGACATTCCTGAAGAGGTAATGGATATTACCAATTTCCCATAATCAGGACCTCAGCTTTTTCGTTGAGTTTCTCATATAGTTAGGAATTAAATCGTATTATAACATCAATCAAGCCTAAAATCAATTTAAAATCCAAAATACAATTTACTGAACATTTTACCTGTGTAGCTTCTGGTTGCACAGTAACTTGGTTAGGCTGGGCAAGTCTTGACTCAGCATGAACTGAAATAAAATAATTTCACTTATTACATAGCACCAAACCTTTCACAGACAGCATTACCATCTTATCTAATTCAGTTATTAGAAAGCTGATCATCACAAAGATGATCATATTATTTGAATATAGCAAACCTATATTCAAAATATCAATTACTATTTATACGCAACGTACATTTTTTCCAGTTGTCCAAAACAACCCAGCAATTTCCAAAAAACTAAGCAAAACTACATTTTGCCCATTAAAAAAAAGGTTTAAATGTTCCATGTTTCCAAGCAAAACACAGATGCAAGTGAGTATCAAAAATCTACAAATACTACACTTCAAAGGTACAGTTAACGTTTCCGAGAAAAACACTCTTTAAAGGTACGGTATTATGACCTGTGATGACCTCTTTACTATGTAGCACTACCTGAAGCATTTCTAACAGATGACTTGCAGGCTGCCCTGATATTTCTGTTTAGGATTTACCATTACAAACCTGGAGGGCAAACCATTTGTGGCATGTCCAAATTCTGTGCTGGATTCATGGGCTGCGCAGACACAATGGCAGGATCAAGTGTTTGGTTCTCAAACTCCAGCATAGAGTCCTGGGGGAGGGAAATATAAAAAATACTGAAATCAAATCCAATTTACTGTATTTTAAAAATAATAACTTTTACAGTACAGAAATGATCAGGTCACAATACAGGAAGCTTAGTCTACGGTTACATAATTGCTGGGTTTTTACCATACATTTTAAATCAATTAAGATACTAAAAACTCCAAAATGTATTTATCACAACAAAAAACTACGTCCACATATATAAATTAGAGCTTATCTGACAAAAAGGTAACTGGAGGGAGATTTTAATGGCCAGACAGAATACACGATGATCTATTCTTTAACCCAAACTAGCATTTTGTAGGAAGAAACAAAAAAAGGAACAATAGTGTATGCCTCATTTGTTAGCAAGGTGTTTGCTCTTCCATGTGGAGGAGGAGGAGAGGTTTCTTCTGATGTATTTCAGTATCTCCCAATGCATTTCTAGTCATTCTAACTTTAGAGGTTAAAACACAGTTCCCCCCCAAGAGGTATTCTCTTTATGTGTTGTAGAAGTTTTTCATAAGACAGAATTTAGAATTAGCTTATCAAAGGGGTATTTTACAGCTGGTCACACTTAAGCACAATATGCTACGGCACCCAGTGATGCACAACCTTCTGCCTTCTCTGCAAATTTAGTACAAGCAAGGACTGAAAAGCTAAATAACATTCTAATTGTACTTTGACAGCAATACAGGTTTGCAGGCTTTAGATGAGATCTTGCCATACAGAACTATACGGTTTGCAAGACCACTGTATTTCTTCAAATAAACTACAGCATTAAACCACGACTAACAGCCAAAAAATGGGATTTTATTTCTTTGGTTCTAACTTCACAGCACCACAGTGAGTTCATCATACCTGCATGAAGTTATACGGGCCCTGCATCTGCGCCATAAGGTCCTGTACTCGCTGTCTTCTAACAAGAGGATCTGCTTGAGCCACGGTAGTAAGCGTGTGAGGTTCAGGAACTGGAGGAGATGTAGCTTGTGTCTGTTGCTGCAGCGAATTTACAACCTAGCAAGAAACGAGAAACCGACTGAAATTTCAGTTTACCTTAACGCTGCTCAGAAGTGACTGAAAGAAGTTCCTGAAATTTACGGCTAATGCCTAATTCATTATGGACATAATTACTATGGTGTTCTTGAAGAAAAATACTACAGTCCTGTCAACGCTGGTGGCCAGCTACTGATCTGAGCACTTCACAGGAGGAGAAAGTTTAGAGACTGTGCTCTATTTGCTTTCCACCTATTCTATTCTCCATTAAGAACAGCACTAACAAATAATTTGTTCGAGATTACGAGGATTTTTTTAGAGCAGGATTTGAGACAACAATTTATCAACATTTGGAAATTTAAAGAAAGTAAGGAAAAAGCAAGTATCAGAAATATTCACACAGGGAGAACAATTCTTTTCTCATACCTTTTAAGCAAATGCAAGTAGAGTCAGATTTTTTGGGTCTTTCTTAACAATTCAAAATTTTAGATTTTCATAGCTATGTCTGGACCCGAGTTCTCCAGTGCTATCCTAGCTAGCTAACTTTTGGTGTCAGAGAACAGCAGGCAGCATTGCGTGACAGAAAGACTGCAAGACAGCACCATGGGGGGACACCAGAAGCAGAAGCACAACTCATAGCAGGCAAGAAAGTTCAGATTTACTAGACATATTCCCAAACGGCGCACATAAACAAAAGTACAACAGAGAGCAACATGCTTTCAAATACCACCTGATCAAAGACAGCAGAGCAACCAGGAAAGCTGAGCATGAGCATCTAAGAACATCCATCATCAAATAGCTTAAAAACACAGTTACAGGGATGGTTGAGCTGCACAAAGTAGCACTTTCCCACTCCTAACCAGTTTTGCTCTTTAGGCAGCTACCATACTACAAAAGTGCCATCTTCAATTTGCATTCATGTCAGCAACTGTTCTTTAAAAAAAAAAAATCGCTGTCAATAACTTGTCTATCGCTTCTCTATTCCAATGAGCTTTTAATTACTAGTAATTTTCCAGATAAACAGGTAAGCCTTAAACTTACAGTTGCACAGGATATAAATTAGCATGTGTGCACCTGAAAGTTCAAAATATTTATATAAAATATCTAGCTTCTTATTAGAACTGCAGAAGACAGATTTTTTTTCTACAGTAGTCACGACAAGTGACAAAACAGTCTTGCTCAAATTTACAAACATTGTTTGTATGTGACATTCTGCACATGCAATTGACTCAAAGGCCAATATATCTTTCCTTGGCCAAATCCCTAACCATTCATAACAGAAAACCATAAGAAAAAAAAAATCCATAAACAAAACTAAAAACCAACCACAACCTACATTCCTCTTCAAGATTCCCTTCAGATCCAAATCTCCACTATTAGCCATCCAGAGAGAAGCAATGTGACAATTCCCATGGAGCACACCCTAAGTCTGTCCACACTGGAAAACAACCACAACCGCTCTGCCATATTGCAGTCCCCAACACATCAAATTATGGACTGTTTCCAAATAAAGAATTAAGCCCTGTGAGTGGAATTTTTTTTTTTAAATTATTTAGAGCACATATACAGACCTCTCACACATTACAAAGTTTTAAAATGAAAAACCGTCAGCTGCTCATCTGCTACATAATTATTACCAAAAATGTTCTCAATTATTTGAGTATTATCACTCAACTTACGAAGTTCAAATCATTTGTAACAATTCAGTATCTTCAAGAAAAAACAAGCTGATGGAATAATTAACAACACAGAACAGGGACAAAATTTTATCAAACATTTCCCTTTTTCACAAATAATACGGTACTAACTTCAGACGGTGCTTAGTATTTTACATTGTCACCAATGGGCAGGATTTCATTGTAAAGTTCACTGCTTTCTAACAGTCTGCTGCATGAAAAAGGTACAGAGACTCAACAAATATTAGGATCATAGTTCAAAAAGCAAATCATCACCTGACCATACATCTCCATTCATCTTTAGAGTACAGCAGCAAGGTGAAACTTTTCTTTTGGGAGAGCTGAACCTCTCTGCGGAGTAGCATTTGACTCATCAAATTGCTTGCTCACCCTCTGACACCCTGCCTCTTGGCCTTCTCAGTAGGCAGAGCTGCCCAAACACAATCAGAGGAGAATGACAGGGTAGGGAAGGCCAGGGGCCAAAGGAGGTGGAAAGAGGCAGAGGTAAAACCAGAAGTTTAATGAGACCACAAACCAACCAGAATGAACATTCTGGCAGTCACAGAACAGTTTCCAGTGCTACGAAAAATACACATCCATCCATCCATCCATCCATCCATCCAAAGTTCCATAATCTAAGACACAGAGAACTCTGTATACAAGCAGCTTCAGATACTTCTTACAAAGGAAGAAGATAAAAAAAAATCAAATCAAACAAACAAATCCCCCCCTCCCCTCCACACCCCATTAAAACCAAAACCACAACAACAAAAACCCCACAAACAAAAGCCCCACTATTGCCAGTAAAGGACATCTCCACCAAAATTAAAACATCATATAATCCAAGTGCACATACACTTTGAGAATTCACAAGCAAATTCTGTAGTGTAAAACTTACGGAAGGCCCGTAAGAAAAGTCACTGAGACACTATCACTTCTCGAACTATATACATACCGTACCACAGAAATCACGAATGTATCACATCTACCTGAGGGTTACTGAAAAAGAGGCGAGTTTGTGATAGCCTTCCTCTTCATAAACAATGATGGAAATCATCTGCATAAATGTTCTTTTTCAGAATACTATCAGCTTCTGAAATTAACAGCTACCATTCACAGCTCTTACTTACTACCGCCACAACTACCTTCAGCTGAAGAGCACAGACCCTACAAAATGTGTCATCATCTTTCTTTAAGGACAATTCAGTTGCATTCCCATGAGAAATGGGATTTTGGTGCCACCAAGAACAGCAAGAGTAATTTCAAAGACAATTATTCTCAACTTCCCTTTTTTGTGTTATATCTGAGAAAATAAGGTTCCTAATTATGAAGAAGCAACCTTCAACTCTAAATTTTTCAAAATTGTTCATTTGTACATAATCCAAGAAATTGGGACCGCAAGGAGAACTGAAGTACGTATTCTTTGCATTGTTCTATGAAAACAAAGCTGATAAAATCCAGATTTAGCTGACTAGTAAAAACATGTAAAAATGATGAGTTTCGCAAATCAATCTGGTATCAAACTACAACCTTAATTCTTTTACCATACTAGTACAGTTACTCCATATTATTATTATTCCTGTGAGGAAGTGTCTGAGTTTCCAACTGTGCAATACACAGCCGCACAGTTTAAGAGCAGAAGGAAGCACAACAGGCCTCAATCGTAAGGACATCTCCTCTACTCTGTCTTTACCCAAACTTATTAAAACCTATACAGAATTGAACCTCTAAGTTACTCTGGACACTTAGTATAAACACAGATATAATTTGGGTATATTTCAAGATCAACTGAAGGCAATCAAGCATTCACTTTAAAAATATTGTGTCTTGTAAGAATACCCCAATCAAACATGACTTCAAGGTATGTTTTTCAAGGTGATTTTTTGTTTGCTTTTATTTTGTTTGGTTTTTTTACAGAAATTTCTTAAATCTCATTCAATAGCAATGATATTTTAGGGTTTTTTAAGTAAGGGGCATGGAATCCTATGACAAGATACTATCAAAATTATTTACATGGCAAAGTTGTCTACTTCGGTATAGAAACCTCACACCCATCCTAAGTATTATTAAATCTCTCAGTGGTCTTCAACACCGTAAGATACGAATTTCAGACGGACTGCATGCAAAAACCAGGCAGATAATCTTATCAAATGGCTCCTCATTTTCACCACCTGAAAAGATGATGAACACTGAATTCGCCTCTACATTTAAATGAGCCTGAAGACACCAAGGAAGAGAGACTCCAAAATTGACCGTCTGTAATTTGCTGCTACAGAGGCCAAGATAAACCCAAAATTAAGTCTCCAGCACCTGACAGATGCTGCTCATACCTGTTCCTAACAGACAGACACAACTTAAGTTCCCATGTACCAAACATTTGAATGACTCCATGTGACTCACACTGAAGAACACAAAGTCTAGAGCTTAAATTACTAAACTGGGAATGAATCAATCCCAATAGCAATGTACCACAAATATCACAAGCGAACAACCATTCAACTGCAAAGTAGTAACAAGTTAAATACTTGAAGAACTACACTTTTTGAAAGCAGAGATGTACGTACAAGCATATTTTAACACCATATTATATGTATATGCAATCTGGAGTAGGTATTAGCCAAGACACTGATTTTCAGCTCCCTCTCCACAGAACTGCTCAACGAAACACAAAACTATGCCATGCTGTCAGCAGCTGTGTAGATAAACTGAAGCTTGACATTTGCAGCAAAGTTGTCTTATTAACAGAACACAGCAGTAGAAAAAAAAAATATTTTAAGTCTTTTTAAGCCTAAGACTTTTAAGTCCCATTTTACTAAGCAAGCCACTACTGAACAAAAGCAAGTTCCCCATAAACTTAGCCAGACCAGACAGTATAGTTTTTATTTTAGGTACTCCTGAGCTAAATATGTAATTGAAGAATGCGTAGTGAGTCCAAGTCTATTTAGATATATGTATTTTCATATATACTGGGGTAGAAGCGGTGCAATACTGAAACCTATCATGAATTGCGAGTCAGCGGAAACAGGGATTGCAATTTTACCTGCAGTACACAAGATCTTACCTCAACCGTTTCAACTGTCCACTCATCTACCTGTTCCTTCTCACTACTGCTGAACTGAGTCTCTGCCATGAATTGTCTGTTTACATACTAAAATAAAAATAAGAAAGTGTATGAAAGTAAAAGTAAGTGGCATTAAAGCTATACAAAATGACAGTCTTTCCAGTGAGTAATACCTCAGTTGATTCAACTTCAGTTGGTTCAGTAAATTCTTCTGCTGGATCAGGTTCTGTAAGAAAAATACACCATTTATGTTAAAAAAAAAACCACAAAAAACCAAAAAAAACAAAAAAACCCCACACACAAATCGAAAACCTAGAAGATAATGTTAGATGAAAAAATCTCCCCCAACAAAAGTGGAATTTTGAAGAAGTGAGATGCATCTTGCAGTCGTCCTTTATCAAACCCATTTACTTTAAAGAAGTACTATATTAGTACACAGGAAGTACAGCTAGGTGTAAGAACTAATGCATACACTTTACTCCTGAGTGACATTAATACCTAATACTAGAAGCTTGCTATACAACGAAGGAGTTGCCTTGTCAGACATATTCAGGGGGATGGGATTTTGATTAGATCTGACATTACAGCCTCAATACTGCTGACCTGTACAGTTAAGCATCTGCTGGGTTCAGAAACAAACCTACTATTACAAGGTAGGTAAGTTAGAAACTTCTGTCTCAGAAGGGAGGAAAATAAAAACAACAGGGCATTAACAGAGAATTAAGCAATAACAAAGATAATCAGTTTTGAAACAAAATTTTCAAAAATCACGTTAAATTCTTGCTATGAAGAGTTACGGTTGGTTACTCCAAATTCCAGTTTTCTCCACAATATATTCAAAAAGGGAAAAAAGGTCATAAATCTTTTCCTCAAGTTTGGCACCATATTCTCAAGTTTCTTAAGTACATAAGCATACTCTTTGCTTCAAAAACTCTTCCCTTATAACAAAGAATTAAACTGGTAGAACCACTGAAAAGTGGAAAAGCCTCAGGAACCAGAACTTTAATCTCTTATCATTTTAATGCTACACACACACAAAACTTTGTTTATAAATGATAATGACAAGCTCTACTGGAAAACAAAATAAGAAAGAGATAATTTTCATTTACGTAAACCTGCTTCTAAATAATTTCGTTGTTAGGCTGGGTTCTTATTTTAGCAAGTGATATGTTAGACAGACAAATGCTGCAAGATGTGTTCAAAAACAAGTACTACTAAGTGACTTTGTTCCTTCATTCAGCTGATGCTCCACAGTTAGAAGAGTAAGTTTTTCCTTGCACATGATGGAAGACAATTTGAGTCAGCCTTACAGAACCCTTCTGGAACACAGCTCAGCTTTTCTTTCCTCATGGCTCAGAGCAGGGCTGGATGAATGGTTGACTGCCCCTATATACGTTGCCTGGCTAGATGTACACCCGAGTACCATGACATGACACTTCTATTCAAAACACTAGTACACTTGAAGAGTTGAGACAAGTGCTTTTTGTGCTTAAAACTGCATTTGCAATTTAATAATTCTGATGAATCCAAACAGACAAGACAGTATGACACAAACCAATACACTAGTCACAAGGGGTCTTCCTATTCTTACCAGCTTCGGCTACAGTGTCTTCTACTGCAGGTGCGGGTGCTGCCTCTTCTTCCTCACATAATCCGTTCTGATGGTTATGGGTGCTATCAAAGTAACTAGTTTGAAGAATACGTTCAACCATCTCCTTTAGCGCTTTATCTAGGATAATGGAAGAAGTTTAATCCTAACAGTAACTCAATCCTCATCATCCTTTCCTTCCTTCCCGAAGATCCCACATAAGTTTTCTTACTGTTTTGCTGGGAGGATGTATTACCTAGGTCAAATTAAATTAATCAATAAATCATCAACTTCTGTTCAGAAAAATCTCCTGGCAAGGAGAATCCTAGAGTACTTAAGAGACACTCATCAGCAGATTTGTGAAACACTTCAAAGTGAGGCAAGGTTTATGAATTTAATTACCATACTTTTATTCCTGCTATTTAAAAAAATCTCTGGTTGCTTAAGTTTTCAGTTTGGAAAGTTTTAGGAACTCACTGAAGCTTCAACTGTAACTGATTTATTTGTAATTCCCTAATTAAAAAACCTTACTGCAAGTCAGTTTCTTGCACAACAACTGGCAGTACAAACAAATTTCCAGGGGTACCTACCACCTTCAGGAAGGTTCTTCCCCTGAGGTGAAGTGGCTCAGAACAGCCTTTGCAAGTGAAACAAGCACAAGCTTGCACTCAGTGCCTCAAATGAATGCGGTGGTGTCTTAACCCAAAACAAACCAGCCACATTGGCAAGGCAGCATTACTGACTGACTAGGCCAACAAAAACCAAAACAGACTCGAAATGGAAGATTCATAATGCACGTCTGGCAAGTGATGATCACTCTGTGAATCAACATACACACAGAAGAGCACAGAAATACATTAACATTCATCCCTATTGTATGACAAAGCAAACCAGCAAAGGCTGACAGTGACTTCACTAAAAGCTCATCTTGAGATCCAGATACCATAACCCAGCCCCACTTCATCCAGGAATAGAATGACTAGGTCTCCAAGGAGCATACATCAGCTCTCTCCTGAAAACTATCCCTATACCTACTCTTTCCTCCACCACTTCAAAAAAAAATATGTGGTACGTATCTTCGGGCTCTCACAAAGATCTAACATCACAACCATTTCAGACTTGAGCTCTTGGAGAACAAATACTAATTAAAAAAAATACTAACCTGGTACCTCCTCACAAACTTTCATTTCAACAATATAAACAACGTGAAGTTTCCTATTCTGCCACAAATGAGGAAAATCTCATTACCATTAGGGCCACGGCATCTTACAATCTCCTGTGTATCATTCCTCAATAAAGCAGGTTAGGTAACAACTGCAATACTATCATTCCACTTTCTATGAACAGAAAACAAATAACTCTCAACAGCGCAATATTACTTCAATATAATAAGGATAACTGAAAATATTTCAAGAAGTGGGAAAGTTCTTAGCCATTTTATCTACAAAAAAGCTAAACTTTCCTGCGGATTTCCAACTCAGGGACTTCAAAAATTCCCTGTGATCCAAGAAACAAACTGCCTAGCAGAGCCATCTTCTTAAGGTCTAATGTTACAAGCTATGTATTTGTGAAAACTTACATTTCTGCGAGAAAACGCTCCATCTGAAGGATCACACCCTGATTTACAGAGTTAATCAATCAAAACAGGGCAAAACCAGAATGCTTTTTGCAGCAGACAACGTGGAGCAGAACGTCATACTAAATAAGGCCATGTCAGTTTATACATTAGGTCATATTGACAAAGCTCCTTGTTCACACATGTTTCCAGAAAACAAAGAATTGCTACTAAGCACCACCAACAGCAGAATACTGCTGAAATAGCAGGAACCGACTACGCTTCAGTATCGAGTAATGCTGCATCAGCAAAAAAAAGAAAAAAACCACCACACTAAGCTCACACTTCAGTAAGTTGTTCTGTTACAGTCCAGCCAAGCTCTGAAACAAGGCAGCTACTCTGAAAACTTGGAAAGATAATTAACTGCCAAAGTTCTCTTCTATAAAACGCTGTATTTCAAGCAGAAATTCAGTGTGCTATCTCTTAATATAGACTATACTTACAGGTTGTTCCACAAACTGTTTTTTCCTTCCCTTCCAGTAAGTCCCACAGGTGAACAGATGCTTGCTCATACTGCTCATTCAACCTTAAAAAAAAATAATTAGTAAGAGTTCATTTCTTACCAAGTCTTTGAATTACCACAGTACAAATATATCCTTAACTGACTGACAATTCTAAAGAAAAGTACTTCATTGTAAGCATACCTCACATTCATGTCTCTTTCAGGGTAAACTAGCTTATAAAACTCATCCAGCGTTGTCAGTTCCTCCTCCGTCAGTACTGGGACTCCGTTCGATCCTTGTTTCAAGTCGTTGCGCACTTCATCATCACCCAACTTGTCCAAAATAAACTGCAGCTCTAGTACAGTCTTTAAACGCTTCTGCTCAGCTTCTTCACGCATCAGTTGCTCCCGGCGAGCTGTCTTCTTTATTGTTTTCTGGATCTGTTAAAAATGAAGAGACATTTAAAATTGCTTAAGCTTGGATTCTATAGTGAACTCAGGGGAAAAAATACAGATCTGAAATGTCTTTTATTGATAAGTAGAGATGGATACTAGTGTTGAACTGCCACTTATCAATCTAACACTACAGCAGAATAGCCTGTGAAATTTAGAGGATATCTGCAGAGTCAAAACCCTGCAAGTTAAGACAAACTTTAAAATCAATCCCACAAGCCTTGGACCATACTGGATCTTGATCATATTCTAACTTCAAGTCTGCACTTCATGACTTACAAGCCGTTCAGCCCAGTAAAGCTTCAGACACAAAGGTGTTATTTCAAACAAGCGCAGATTGCCATTACCTGCTTCCTTTACAAAACACTCTTTAAACACTAAGTCATTTTGATCTAAATGAAAGTGGCAAAAATGTACAAAATTAAGTACCTTTTATACAAACATTGTGGCTATTTACAACTTCTGGCTTCTGTAACTCAAAAGGATGTACAGCAATTAGAAAAGGCACAGAGAAAAGCAACTCAAATGATTCAGGGGACAGAGCAGTTGCCTTATGAGCAGAGCCTAAGTCTCAGGTTCTTCAATCTAGGGGAGTAAGTGTGATCCAAATTTTTCATAAAGCCCACAAAGGCCAGCAGATAACGTGAACAGAGCAGTTATTCAGCATATCCCATGATAGCAGGAGGCATTCACTGAAACTACTAGGCAATCAGCTTAAAACAGATAAACAAAAGCACTCTTGTTTCTTCCACACCATAGGAGGGAACTCATGGAACGTTCTGCCATGAAAGGCTGGGGACACGGACAGTATCAGCAAGGTCAAAAAGGAGTTGAACAAATTCTTGGTCATGAGGTCCACAGACAGGCACTAAAGGGAACAGGAATGCTTCCACTCTCTAACATTCCCAGTGTGAGGATCATGGATGCCGTAAGGGAACGGATGACAGGTAATAATCAGCCTTGTACTCTACATAGTACCTTCTGCAGCTGCTGTCGTAACAGTGGTCTAAATGCATACTCTGAACCTAAAGCACATTTCTTCCATTCTTATTTGTAATCCCATCATCTAGCATCCAAAATTCAGCTTGCTCACTTTGTAACTATACAAAGCTTTAATATTCTTCTACAAACAATGTAACTCACGACAGTAACTTTCTCCCTCTGAAGCATCTAAATTTCTTTTTTACAGTCAAAGGCTTATCTTAAATCAACTGAATGAGAACTAACTCCAATCTAGAAAAATTGCAATCAAGTTTGAAAGCAGAGCACCGATTTAGTACTCCTGGATCCACTTGTTTCTTTTAGTGGTCAGCTGACCAGGGAAATTTTTCAGGACAAACTTGTCAGCAGAAAAAAGTTCTTCGTTACTAACATTCCATAAACATACATCGAACCCTGATGCAAGAAAAGCAAAGAAACAGCTTGGTTTAGAGGCCTATAAATTTACAACCACGTCAAAGGCAGAAAGCAGTTTATAATGTGTGGATGCTGATGCCCTCCAAATTATCACATAGTCTGTTCACAAACTAAATACACTCGTTAGACCAGTCTGCTGCACTAACATCGACTACACAATGAATTCTACCCTTGTTGTTGCTCTTTCCATAACTCATTAACTCTAACTGTATTACTGCATTGAGAACCTTCCAGTCCTGTAGAACGGGTTACGCTTTCAGCTTGCCCCAGAATTAATTCTCCCTTGCAATGATACTGCAGAGGTCTAAAGTGTGTCTTTTTGTTTGCAGCTCTTGGCACAAGAAATAAAGCAAAGCTGTTCATGTAACTGGAACTGTCTATTAGAGTTTTACAATTTATTCTTGACTACACTCCTCTTTTACACCCTTGATAAAACACTAACTTGCCTGGTTTACTAGTATTCAGTTATCCTTTATGAATATAATATTCACCATGTCCCATACTGCAGCTTCAGATTGTATTTGCAATTAACAAAACAGCAAGAATCTTGAAAAAGGAACAGCAATGCTTTCAGTTGCTCAGATTTTATACCCTATGGTAACATAAAGAAATGAAAACCCTCAGCCACTTTCCAAAGAGAGAAGGAAGGCCTGAAATCTCTGTTTTCTTTTAAGAAAACATTACTATTGGCAGTAAGTGGCTGCCTACAATGTTGCATGGCAGGCCTCTTTTGCAGTCCCACGGTTTTTAACCATTACATTTTGTGAGAAAGTTACATGATTTTTGTTCCCATACATTTACGTAATCCATCAGAAAAATCTTTTAGGAACAGTCTTCAGAAAACCTGACACAAACTAGCACACAGAGAAAGGAAAACAGCCAAACATACAAGAAATCACGAGAATTTCATCTCTGTAAATAGGGGAGACTAGTGCATCTAGTATTAGTGAAAGTGAGTTTAAAGCCCAACTGTTTGGTATTGCAGCTGACAGTCCACATTGCACCACTTGCTCTTTACTTACATCCTGGCTCAGAGCCATAAAACTCCTCTGCAGTTCTTTAGCAAATTCCAGATTATTTGTCACTTCCTGGTATTTTGACACCGCATCCTTAAAAAAAACAGAACCACAAAAGTAAACTATGACAAACAGAACAAAATACATACTTCCAACAAATAAATTCCCACATTTTTAGTTTTCAAATGAAACACAGCATCCCTGAATGGGACCTCAACAATGTTAAGTCAGATTTTGATTTTCACTGGCCAAAATATTCAAAAGACTTGTGTATGTCTTTAGGGCCTCTAGTTTCTTAGATAAATGTGCTAAAGCATATGCATATATATGCTCACATGCCTGATCTACTGGTTTAATATTTAGCATTAGCCAATTTCTGACAAAAAGTAATTGACAGGTGAGGGGAATTGGAAGAGTAACCTGCAACTCAAAACTGCTCAAGAGAGAAAGGTTTGAGAATTAATGCATTGTTGTCTTTAGTCAGAGCCAAAACCAAAACATGAGCGTAACATTCCCTTCTCCAGAAATCTTTATTATTTCCTATTTTCTCAAATCTACTATTTTGATTTGCACCAAAGTAATCCAAACTCCTTAACCCACTTTGCAGTACTGAGAAATTACAGAGAGTCAAATCTGGAGAAAAGAACCACTGAGACATTTACACTCCTGCAGTGATAAAAGCAATAACGGATATGTCCTTGAACAACTGAGCCAGAGAAAAGTTACTACTCACTTTGAAAAGCAAGGAACACGAACTGTATTCACTTTTTTCACCTTAAGGATTTCCATTTGTAATACTACTAAGAAACTTACTACACATTAGCAGTGGATGTTGTCTATCTTGACTTCAGCAAGGCTTTTGACACTGTCTCCCATCGCAACCTCATAGGGAAGCTCAGGTAATGTGGACTAGATGAGTGACAGTGAGGCGGACTGAGACTTGGCTGAAGGACAGAGTTCAGAGGGTTGTTATCGGCGTCAGAGTCTAGTCAGAGGCCTGTAGCTCCTGGGGTTCCCTGGGGTCAGTACTCGGCCCAGTCTCGTTCAACTTATTCATCAATGACCTGGATGCAGGGACAGAGTGTACCTTCAGCAAGTCTGCTGATGACACCAAACTGGGAGGAGTAGCTGGTACACTGGAAGGCCATGCTGCCATTCAGCGAGACCTGGATAGGCTGGAAAGGAACCTGATAAAGTTCACCAAGGGCAAGCGCAGGGTCCTGCACCTCGAGAGGAACAACCCCATGCACCAGTACAGGCTGGCGCTGACCTGCTGGAGAGCAGCTCTGCAGAGAGGGACCTGGGTGTCCTGATACATGACAAGTTGACCATGAGCCAGCAGTGTGCCCTTGCTGCAAAGAAGGCCAATGGTATCCTGGGGTGCATCAAGAGGAGTGTGGCCAGCAGGTCGAGGCAGGTTCTCCTCCTCCTCTACTCTGCCCTAGCGAGGCTGCATCTGGAGTACTGCATCCATTTCTGGGTTCTCCAGTTCAAGAACGGGGAACTACCGAAGAATCCAGCAGAGGGCTACAAAGATGATTAGGGGACTGGAACATCTGTCGTATGAGGAAAGGCTGAGGAAGTTGGGCTTTTTCAGCCTGGAGAAGGCTGAGAGGGGACCTTATAAATGCTTATAAATATCTCAAGGGTTGGTG